GAATAACCTATTTTTACCAATCTGATTTTTCTTTAAGCTTATACAACAATCAAATCACTGACGTTGGAGCCAAATATGTTGCAAAACTAATTGAAGAGTGTTCAAGCCTTGAATACGTTAAGTATGTTGGATTTTTTTTTTCCTTTCTACAGTATCCTAATTAAGGTAAAGCAACTTGAAACAGGAGGGAGAGTGGAAAAAAGACAAAAATTATGTTTCAAATAAAATATTACTTAGTTTGCAGTTATATATTCTTTTACAGTACTCTAGCAGTGAATGGCAGCAGGTGAAACTCTTGAATCCATAGTCTTTACTGGAATATAGTAGTAAGCAAAAGGAGAGCGCGAGACCTGTTCTTTACCTAAATCCAGTCAGAGCACCCGAGTGAGGCTTAAGTGGTGCATGAACCTTGCTGCCCCTTGCAATAGGCGAATTCACTTGGATTTAGTGCCAAGCTTCTTTACATCTCATCTTTTACGGGCCATTGGAGTCAGGCTGTGCTGGTGTCATACCTCAACTCTGGAATTCCCCAAATTCACTTGGTGAGTTGTTCCCTTTAGTTCCTGGAACTTCCCCAGATAAGAGTGTCTGGCCATGTACAACACTGGTTTGACATAAAGGTAGATCATTAACCAATGGTTTAATTGTGACCGTAGCAGAAAATAGAGGTAACTACAGCAACGTCAGCTGCTGATATGAATGTAGCAACCAGCAGCCAGGGACTCTTGGGTTCTAGTCATTGTTCTACCACTAACTTGCTCTGAAACCCCACACTAGCCACATCCTTCCCACTTGAAATATTTGCAGAGTTTTGAAACCCAAGAGCACTCTGGTTCTTTCACTGCTTTGACACAGTGCTTTGCTTATTTAATCTAACTTTCACAAAAAAGCCTGTTGGAAGATGGTTACTTTCAGGCTGTGTAGTAACCCCAGAGATTATTTTGAGGTAGACTGCATATTCATGTGCCTGAAATCAGTCAAACAAGCCAGTTTTACTTTATGTAAATGTAGTGGGTTCAGGGGGTTTTGGTTTTGGTTTGTTCTTTACATCACTGTATATGCAATTGAGACTCATCTCTTCCTTGAACTCCAGCCATTTGATATCCCCACATAGGCCAAAAAAAAGAAAAGGTCTTCTGTAGAGTGCCAGCCAGAGACACTTAATGCTGCACTGACCTATGCCACTACCTATAGCCTATGCTCAGAACAGAAAGACCTGAAATTATTACAATCTGTGCTTGTCACCTGCAGTCTTCCCTGGAGCCACACAACCAAGAAATACTCTGTTCCCTGTGGCATCATGAAATATGCTGCATGTAATTCATGTATTCTGTAGCAACTGCTGATATTATGAACTATATTAAAAACTAGGCAGGGGTCCTTGTCTTGAGGATCAGTTCTTAAAGCTCATTTCTGACATACTGAGCATGAAAATGAAGACTCTACAGTAATACTGCTGATTTGGAGGGCTGACATGCAAAATATGTAAAAGACAACATAAAATGATGTCTTTTAGTCAAAGGTCAAATGCCTGCAGTATTTTTTTACTCTAGGTTAATCTTTGATAACTGTAGTTAACCTCCAGAGTTAATTAGCCTTAAATACTTGTATTGCTTTCTGAGCTGGTGTTCTAATAGCTGTAAGTGATGTACCTCATCAATCCATGTATTTTGTGCAGAATAGGAGCAAACAAAATAACGAGCGAAGGAGGGAAGTGCCTTGCCCAGGCCATCCAGAAGAGCAAGACAATGTTTGAAATTGGGTAAGTTCAGTGCTAAGGAGCAGAGCTCAGGGCTTGGTCTTGTCAAGGCATCTGTAAATCCCTTAGGCTTCCTTCTTTCATTCTTACCTTCTTTCCTTCTGCCATTCCTCCCCATGGTGGCATTAGAACAAACTGGTGCAGGAGCGTAGCCACATTTTCCACTCAGAGGGAAAAGGAGGGCTGCTTTATTGTTCTCCAGTTCACACAATGTTTGTTTTGGGGTTTTTCCCCCTGTTCTGACAGAACCTTAAAGGAGAGACAAACTAACAAGAGGACAGTATGTAAAGATAGCCACTTTCCTTACAGCAACACAGCTGTTCTAGAGATATTTGGTCATTTTTAAGAATCTGGGTGGTTTTATGACTACTGGCAACGTACCTGGTTATTGAGTATCATGTTATAATTGTCAAATCTTCTGCATCAAGTCCTGATAAAGTTGCGAGCTGGGAGCATAAGGAGGAATTCCTACCATTCTTCTCTCTGGTCTGTCCCAAACTGCAGAGTCTGCTATCATTGGAGAGAGGTCTGAATGTACTGTAAATCTTTAATCCCTGTCCTCTTTCTCAGGAGAGATGCTAGACTAGAGGGTTTGATTTCCACCCCCCCCCTCCTCTGGCAAATCCCAGTTTCTGTTTCCACTCGACAGAAGAACATTTTTCTCAGAATCTAATACTCAAATACATGGAAATAAAACCTCTGGTTTGCCATTGTGAATATCACAATAACCCTGCAATATGAAAATCAGATTTGAACAATCAGATTTTTAGCCTTTGATTTTGTTGTTCTACAACATTTCACAAATATAGTCAACAGCATGCACACTTCCATTGTCATATAGCTGGGTCTGCTGTGCTGTACTTGCTGTAATTTCAGCAAAGGACTCCTGTTTTCTCCTGTGGATGAAATAATCACTCCAAATGGATTTAGGATAGCTTGGACAGAAATGCTTAAACTGATATATTCAGCATTTACATAACAAACAGCATTGGGACTGAAGGACAAGGAAATTCTAGGGAACTTACTGGAAGTGGATGTGTTTATACCACAAAGCTCAATTGATTTTAAAAGAGCTGCCAACTAATTACCCATCAAGCTGAGTGTGGCTCTGAGTCATCAAGCCGTGATCCCTGTAAAAAAAAAAACCTTATACTTCAGCAGAGGCACTTTCAAGCCTCATAATATAGGGTGAATTTTCAAAGTGGTTGGTCTGCATAGAAAAGATTTGACGAGATACTGCTATTAAATGTTGATCAAACCTCTGCAGCTTTTACCACATTACCTTCTCCTAACCCTTTGTGTTACCAAGGATTGTTTTGCCATTGGAAATACTATTCCTTACAAATGTGTGGAAGAGCCCAGGGTCATACTGTAAGATTTTGATCTTCCTCTTGGCAGCTGGAGAGAGAGGAGATACCACTTGGGTATAACACTGAAGGAATTGTAACTGTTTTGCCAGACTATTCTGAAGTAGAGGGGGAGCTTGTAGAGCAGTTCACTTCAGAAAGTCACCCATTTGGGTGTGGGTCCCTGTGCAGTTGTGCATCTGGGGAGTCTTTCCCAAGACCTGTACTTTGCATAGTGTAAAGGCCAGTCTGTGCCCAACTGGTAACAGGAAAACTGCAGCGGGGGTATGGGGAGGAAATCCTGAGCAGGAAAATGATAGGATTTAGGACTTGGTGTATTTCTCACAGCAGCTCACTCTACAGGACCGCAAGACTCCTTTACCCCATAAGGGTACAGGGCTGCAGGGGGTTTGCCCAGCACGGGAAGGTGATCCCAAAAGCATTCCTGCTGCAGCAGGCTGTCTCCTAGAGCTGCTTCTGTGCTGTGGCCTTAGGGTAGTGGCGAGTCAGCAGAGACCGGTGGTGTGGTGTGCAGGGAGTTGGAACACGCCTGGCTCAGCGGGGAGGGCACCTGCCAGGTTTCTCACAAGCCTGAAAGACTGTGAAGTAATTGGGGGGAGAGGAGGGAAGAGAAAAAGGGAGAATGCAATGCCGAGGGGCAGTAGGGCAGCACACCTGATATCTCCTGGTTTCCTCTCTTCACCAGGATGTGGGGTAATCAAGTTGGAGACGAAGGAGCAAAGGCATTTGCAGAGGCCCTGAGGAACCACCCCAGGTTAACAAACGTGAGGTAAAACACCAGCAGAGCCAGGCAGCTCGGCGTAGTGCTGGCTTTCCCATCGTGCTTTAAAGTGATGACTCTTCCCACCAAGCGTTAGCTTGGAACGCCATCTGGTATTGCAACCTTCGCTGTGTAACCGACAGGATCCTGGTGCAAGCAAGAGGCCAGATTGAATCAAAAAGCCCTATGCAGCCATTAAGCAAGTTAAAAATATTGCAGGGCTGGCATCCTTTCCTCTATCTGCACCTCCTCCCCTCATGCTGCACAGAGTTACTGGCATTTGTGAAAGCACTTGGTCAGTGGGTGCCATTTTGATCTGGGAGCATTAGCAGAAGGATGGACCAGCTGTCACAGAATCAGGCTCCCAGTGAGCTCAGTGTTAACAGTTTTTGTTGCGAAGGTACAGCAGCTTTTACCAAAGTAATTTTTAGATGATAAACTGTTTGGGTAGGGACTGGGGCATTCTTAAATTCAGGCTCATCCTGTACTCCAGTGGAGCTACAACACCACACATTCAGTGCTAATGAGATATAGTTCTCACTGGAGTTCAGTGATTCATCTCAAACTAGCCTTCTGGAAGCCCTAGCATAGGTGAAGTTGGTAGCACAGCACAGGGAGAAGCCAGCAGTGTAAAACAGCCCATCCCCTGCCAGACTTTCAAATGTTGGCTAGGGATTTAAAGATGTGTATTGTGGCAGCTGGTGCTGTTTTGAGTTCCTTCACACAGCTGGAGCACCGGGTTCATGGTGATCCTTTCGATTTGTCTCCTAGTTCCACTGGCCTCCACGAAGAGGGAGCAGACAAGGCTCCTTGGTTTCCCCACAAGGTGGCACATGGCACTAGTTTCTTCAGAAATACGGTACTCGGGGAGTTTGGGGATGTCTGGAGAGCTTATTGCTGCCACTTCAGACCCAGGCATTTCAGAGCTGGTGCCTTGTCCTCCTTTCTGCGAGCGGATAGCTGGGCTTAAAAAATTAAAAGCTGAACAGGTGCAGTGACCTAGATATACTTAAACTTAAAAGCTATCTGACATAGCTGTCTTCCCATAATTGCAGAATGCATCCAGATACATCAGACTTGAAAGAAAACATTTTGAACCTGAATCAGAACTGGTTTACACCGGGGATTCTCGGATGGGAACAAATATGCTGATGAATGTGCTTGCAAAAATAAAGAGGAGTAACTGTGCTGGCTAGGGCTAGATTTTGCTGGCACCTGTGCAGGGTGAATCTTCTGCTCTGCAGTGTACTTGCACTTGGGTTAATTTCTTATCTTCCACTGGTTAATCTTGCTTTGTGATTTGAATTTATAGTTAGCACCAGTGGTAGCTTTATGCAAAGATTAAGGGAAGATGATAGTCCCTACTACATCAGTTTACTTCAGCATATTTGCCATTTTTAGGCCTAGTCATGATGGACTGAGAATATCTAGTTTCAGCTGAAGCTAGGAGGGACTCGTGCTAACACATATTTGTGCCATTGCCCTACTTGATCCCCCCTTTCTACCTTTTTTTGCAACCGTTATTTTCAGGCTCTGGCCTGGCTTTTGAGGGGGGAAACGCTTTTGAACTTTCAAAGCCTGAAGCATAACTGTAATTGGATGATTTTGCCAACGTCTGTTCAAAGAATGAAGGGCAGACTAAGAAATATTTGTGGTTTGTAATGGAAAGCATGCATTTATAAGCTCATCTCTCCATACACAACAGAAGGTGTTGTGTTTGGAAGAAGAATGAGGTATTCGGGTGTCTGAAGGACTTAAAGGACAAAGTGCCCAGTTTGTACAGGGAGTTGGGATGACAAATGCATGTAGAAACCTGTGTACTACTAAGAACAATTCTTTGTCCTTGTTAAAAGCCTTGACTCTCAAATCACTGGGTACAACTTTGCTGTCCGTCCCAGGCGTACAACTCACTGCCAGCAAACCTTATGGCCTGTATGATAGACCTGCACTCAGGCTGCAGCCTGTGAACTGTAAAAGTGACTTGTAAAAGTAAAAAGTGTAAAAGTGACTTGTAAAAGTCATAAGGACTTACTGGTTTGCAAAGTACATGAGCCTTTGAAACACCCAAATGCTGAACTGTGCAACTGGGAAGCAGATCATCCAGGATATTCATTAGTATTTGGCAGCGGAAGGGCCACGTGATGCTGGCTGTTTCTTACACCTTTGTATCGTTACTTCACAGTCTCGCGTTCAATGGCATCACAACAGAGGGAGGCAAAAGTATTGCTGAAGCTATGCAACACAACAACTCTGTGAAAATATTCTGGTAATTGACAGTGTGGTCTACTTCTCCTCCTCTTCTTTCTCCGGAGAAAGCTGCAGCCTAATTTTATTCCCTCCAATCCCCTTGCCTCCTCCTTATCTCCCTCCCCCCATTCCCTGTGCTTTCACTACCAGCAAGGTATAAGATATATCCCTCTGGAAGAATGTGGACATGAGTAATGGATCAGCAGCACTTGTGTCCTTTAGAACACATTCCAATGTCCCAATGTCATGCTTTGCTCTGCTCCCTCCATCTTGCTTTGCCCATCTTCTCTCACTTCCATCATCTGAAATCAAGTTCTTTGTTCTCAGTTTTTGCACCTCTTCAGTGTTGTCCCTACCTCTCTACCTTTTTCCACCACACCTCATCCACCTTTTAGACACTAAAACATCATTAGAAAGTATCATTGGGACATTGCTCTGAGAAATAAAGATATGATTATCTTGTCTTTTTTACCTCCAGGGCTTCTCTTCAGTATCTCTTTGTGCCCAGCATTTAAAAATTGCTCAGGGCGGGAACAGCACATCCCCCTTTAGCTGTCTAAAGCTAAGTCATAGACAAGCTGGAAAAACAGGGGGCTGAAAAACAATGATAACATCCTAAGTGAACATTTTCTTTCCCACTTAGGTTGACTAAAAATGAGCTGGATGATGAGGCAGCAATGAGTTTTGCAGAGATGCTGAAGGTCAACAAGAAACTGGTGCATTTATGGTGAGTTACATTCCACAGAGGCACAGGCTCTTTGGCAGTCACTGCATTAAAGCTTCACCTTCCAAGTCTATGTAGGTCACAGTAAGCTTTCTGTGCATGGTCTGGATGCAGCTGACTGGTTGTAGACAGTTCTAATGGGAAGTTAATAAAGCTGCTGTCTAGCATTTTGAACCTGCTTTCATACAGGGAAAAGTTTAAGATGTTTGTGTGGCCTGGTAACTTTCGAACTACTAATTGATTTCATCGCTCCTTAGGGGGAATAGTTCTGGCCTCAAACACAAAAGTTTCAAAAAAAATACAGGCAGACAGCTAGAGTAGAATAACCTTATTTTGATTCTTACTATTTATCATCATACTATGAAAGTAGCAAGCTCAACTCTTACTTTTCAACCAAGAACCCACATGACAGACATTTAAATGCATGTCCCATTTTCCTGATGTTTTCTTCTAGGGCTAGCACTTTCACTCATGCAAGACACTCATCTATAAGACATAAATCCCCAGGAAACGCAGGATTATTTCTAGCAATCACAAAGAGACTTGTTAAACTTCTAAGAAAACACAGCATTGGCTGTTCTAATCCAGAGGTTCACAAGAATTTGTCCATGGATGGGGTTAGGCAGATGTGGGCTGTGAAACAAATAGCCGTCCATTCATTCCAAGCAATCAAGAGAACATAATAAACGGAGTCCCATTACAAGCTTATGCAAAGACTTTGCTAACCACACTCTAGCATTCCCTGTATTAATCATAGTTCCCACCCCCTAGGAAACATGCCGGTTGTCAGAGGTGCCAAGTACTTGTAGCCTCTTTTGAAAGCAGTAGAAGCTCTGGTGCCCATCACCCTGAAAATAAAAAGAGGGGCGGGGGAGGGCTTGATTTCTTTGCGCACAGCTGCAGATATGCTTCACTGAGCAGTTTGGTTTGAATTCATAATAAAACTTTCCCCATCCAAAGCAGGCATAGTAATCCAGATACGTGTCTTTACCATGGCTCAGTATTGTCCAAGGGTTTCTGCCAGTAGACAAATTTATATCCTACTTTGTTGGTTATACCAGTGGGTACCTCCAAAAGGTGGTGACCTATACAGATAGTTGAACTTGAGGCAGAATTAACGTGTTTTTCCAGTAGCTGAAAGAATCTACTGGATCCCTTTGCATTTTGATTAATTTACCAAGTGCAGAAAGTCCTTTAATAGGAATGCGTCCCTGCTTCCTTCGTTCCCTCCCTCCCTTAAGAGATCATTCAGTTCATTCCAGTTTTCAGCCTCATTGTGAATCCTGTGGGATTCATGCAACCAGTCACATGGTATGGGGCACACCATGGTAGACTTGAAAGATAAGTATTGAATTAGGCTAGGCTGATGAGTATTTTCATACTCATGCAGATGAGGGGGCTTTGTTCATTTTTAGCTAGGGACGTGGTCTACAGTGGTTAATAATTACCTAATGCTTCTTCAGTTGTGCTACTTGAGGATCTTTTGTTTCTTTTTTCCCCCCCTCAGCTCAGATTAGACATACTTTATAGCTGCTAAGGTGGCTTCACTGGGACTTGCATCTGCTCATACCACAGTCAAATTCAATGCCTTATTTTTCAAAGATCTCACTGGTCTGATAAACAAGACAGGAGGATTTGGCAACCTCTAGCTCATAACTGCTAAACAGGTTCTGTACTCAGAATTTTCTGTACATCACTTAAAAATGTCTCACGGTGTTCTTAATAAGAAAACAGAGCTAAGTCTGTCTCAGAGTCCAAATATCACAATCCCATACCAATAGTAAACGGTTCTCAGCAGAAATTTGTCAGCTATGTAATTAAGCTCAGTATCTCCAGAATGCAACCACATGCAAGATTAAAAGGAAAAGACTGATACTCTGGGCTCTGTTTCGGAGAGTGCCTGTGGGGCATTTGACCAATACTGTGTACCATCCTCACAGATAGAAATCACAACTGTCGTCTTGTGGCAGACAGCTTTGCTCCTTGACGTCAAGCTAAGCATAGGTTGTGCATGCGCTGTAAATTAATTTGCATGTTAGTTTGACATGACATGCTTTCTTTTTAGGCTTATCCAGAATCAAATTACAGCCAAAGGGGTGAAGTACCTCAGTGAAGCTCTCAAGGAGAACACAGCTATTAAAGAAGTCTGGTAAAGATCCCCTCCTCAAAGGCTCACTTTGAAAACTTTCTTTCCCTTTAAAACACTTTTGGCATTACTACTTTCCAGCCTAAAAAATTCAGAGCAAGTTTATGTGAGGCAGGGGTTGTAGTTCCAGCTCTGGGTTTCAAATAGGTAAAAAGCCTCTGTCATTGAAACACTTCACTGTGTGTTATGAATGTCAAGCAGTTTTGTTAGTTCACATCTGTCTGTACCACTGGCTCGCAGAATGTGTATGTTCACAGAGTTGGGGCCTAAATTTATAGACTAAGTTTTGCTTGTCCGGATTTATTTTTAAACTTCTGAACATGTTTATGCTTTTCAGGAGCTAAATCCCAACAAGCAGGAGATGGTTAAATTTAATTAGCATTACTAATTTGGTTCATAGAATTTGTGCTTGGTATTTCTTTGGGCGGTGCTCCAAACACACTGAAAGTGCTAAGCTACAAGAAGATTAACTTTTTGTAAGATTTGCTTGTTTTAGATTAGGTAGGCATCACATAGTCACACATGTGCATTGTAAGGCCAAATACCACATTCCTTCCCTCACCTCAGGGGAGCTCAGGAGTCAATAGAACTGTGCTGGTTTTAGCACTGCTGCTTCTTTATTATTGAACATGAAATTTATTTTTAAATATATATATTTGTTTTAGTGAAAGGACACTGAATTCTTGCTTAGAAAGACAATGACTCACTGACTAGTGGGTTCCCTGGAGATGTGGAAGAGATGCTTCTTTCAAAGGCCACTGTCAGCTTTTGTCTACAGAAGAGGTATCAATTCCCACTCGAATCTTCAGACGGAAGTCTGTCTTTTGATTCTTGCCTGGATTTTTAGAGGTGTTCATTAACCTCAATAATTTCATAAATCTAAATGGTTTAATAGATTTCAACGTTTCTGAAAGCTGCACTTACCAGGCTGCTCATTTTCAGGGGTGTAAATATCAATGTAGATGATTAACTTTATGTGGCCAGACTTGAAAATTTTTGCTGTAAGTCATTTCACATTAAAAATGCCTGAATACTTAACAGCGTTTTCTTCCCATGTTGTCATGGAAGACACAAAATGCTCTGAAGACTACTTAAATTTCTTTAAACTAGCCCACTGCATGGTGAGAACCTTCGTCCGCTATATGCTGCTTGCTGAAATGCAAACAGCTGGGTATTCAACACTGATTTTAGTTCAATGAAATTCAGGTGTTAGTTCAGTTTTTATTTCTGAAGAAGTAGCCTTGTTCCTCATATGTGCCATGGGAACAGCAGTGCTGTAGCCTGCCTGTCTGAGGCCAATTCCCAACTGTGTGCCTTTGAAAAGCACACGGCATTGCAAAGCTGTGATCTCCGCTCCAAAACCTTGGAAAAATAGAAGATGGGCAACAGTCACTACCTTACTTTCATATCCCTCTTGGTTTTCCCCTCCAGTTTGAACGGGAACCTGATAAGCCAAGAAGAGGCCAAAGCTTTTGAAAATGAAGAACGGATCATTTGCTTTTGAATGAGGACTTTCCCATTTTGACAAGCTTCATGTTACAAAGGTTCCTTCTGCACGTGGACTGCAGAGTTTATAAAGGCATAAATCTGCAGTGCTCATGGCAGGAGAAAGATACATGATTAGCTGCCTTGTAATGAACATGCTGCGCTCCCTCGGCTCCATCCCTTAACCTGTCTGTTATTCTTAATCCTTTTGGTGAGTGGGAAGTTGCCTAGGTAAAATAATTGATATTTGTATGGTACTTTGCAGATGAAATGCAAAGTGTTAACAGACCAAATCCACTGGCAGGTCTATGCATTTTGATAACTGAGTTTAGATTTATTCTGTACACTGGTGTAAATAATCTCTAACTTATTTATATACATAAATACACCCCCCCCCCCATATATATGCAAGAAAGGGTGCAAGATGAGCAAACTCCACAAGCTCAGAGTATTACCTGCTTCATAACTGAAAATTAACGTATGTAGCTTTACTGAAAACGTGTTCCATCTATAATAGTCGCATGGTACCCATGTTTTCAACATGAATACCTTTCTCCTGCCTAGAAATTAGGCCCTTATTTCTGCACTGACTACTACTACTTTTTTTTTTTTTTTGTGAGAAATGGATACATCAGGCTCAGATTATACTTTCAATAATCTTTTTTTCCATATTGAAGCCAATACATTTTCTTTTATACAACAGAAGTCCTTACTGCTATCCCTGTAAAAGCATAAAACTGGCAGTAAAACACTTCTGCTTAAAATTTCCTGAGGGCTGCATAGAAACTGCCACCTCCTGTTTCACAGTGTTTGTTCTGGGGAGGGGGTCTGGAGATAAATGTGAAAAATTAATTAGCAGGCTGTTCATTGCCTTGGCTCTTGGCCTAGACACTGTGCCAGTGGCAATACACCAATATTAAGTTGCCTAGCTTCAGTGGGGAGAAAGAACGATTGAAAATCAATTTTGTCAAGTAGAAATCCGTTCTGCCAGCAACATGTAAGGACAGAGAAGGATTGAGATTTGCTTGGAAAGCTTTTATTTTATGCTTGAAGTAGTGGAAAGTGAAGGCAAGAGACAGGTAGCAATGATAAGGACCAGCAAGAAAACATTATCCCCCCCAAAATAATTAGTGTTTAGGGAGTGTAACTTTAGATGCCCTTAAAAGAAACCAGTTTGCAAAGGAGTGGGGTATTTGATTATTTTTTTATGTGCAAATTAGGCATGCTTTATAAAGGTGAACTCAAATTCTACCCAACAGTGTGTACAAGGAACATAACATAAAATAGAAAAGCATGATCCGTTTTCCTTCCTTCTCCCATGTTAACACCCCCCAAAACTTTGAGAAACAATTCTCCAGTTGCTGACTAAGCCACAAAACTTTGGTAGGCTGGAAGAAGAATCTCCAGTTAAAATGCCAAACCAATGAACCCTCACCTTCCCATTTCCCAAATCTGCCCCATAAAGCAAAACATGAAAAAAGGCTTGCTTTGTAGGCCAGAGTTTCTCCGTTTCCTGTGTGGTAGCAGACCTTTCCCAGTCTCCAATTCTGTCTATTCCCTTCAGCTCACTAACACATTTTAAAATACTCATAAAGCTTTTCACAAAACCAGCAGTTAAACAAAAAAAAAAAAAAGAAAAGAGAAGAAAACCAACTTAGTACTTAGTGTTCATTATTTTTCAGTGGCTTTTCCTCCCTGCCCATGGTATCAGCGCTGATTTTTCACAGGGAGACAGATGAGGCTTTTAGACTGTGCCAGAGGAAAGTCAGCTAACTCGAATGATTTCTGCACCTAAGCCATTTGTTTATTGAAGCAAAAGGGCACACAGTTACAGATGAGCTGGATTTCAATTGCAAAAACATCTGCCAAAGCAAGACCTTTAAAGACTTCTCAGCGACTTCAACAAATCGGACATCCATGCACCTTGTCAAAATGTTCCAGCTTTGCCAGCCTGCCCTTACGGAGAGGAGGAGACACTCGTGTAGGAAGGGCCTCCACCAGAGGTGTCATTTGCCTGTGTTGGAGGGAAGTGTGCTCCCAGTTTGCTCTAATCACTGAATTATTTGCTCATTTACCAGCAGAAAATATAGTTAAAAACTCCAGCTCCTGTCCTCGTTTCATTAATAGACTAAAGCAGTACAAAGCGTCCCTGAACAGCTCCCTCCAAGCTTTCCAATGCAGACACTTCTGCCCCTTTTTTTGGTTTAGAGCAGCCTTTGGAGCTATTTGTAGCGTGATAACAACCTCAACCCTGTTGCAAATGCTGTTACATGCCCAGCAGTTACAAACCAGGCATCTAGGGCAGTGTTTTCAGGGACAGGAGCATCTATGGGGCTGCAGCAGCTAAACATGGCCTCAGAGTAAGTGGTGGCAGGATCAAGCCCAGGTCCACGCAGGACAGAGTTTGGCACCGATTACAGTGCCAGTGACCATGCCGGTCATAGCCACTCATTTCAGAGGTGATTTTTGGGCTGCGAGTACTCATTTGGGCTGGGCTGAAGATCTGAGCAGAGCTCAGTCTGGCTTTGACAAAACTGAGGGGTTTCACAGCGTCCTGCTCCCAACTCACTCAGGGCAGAGGGTCTGCTTCACAGAGCACGTCACAACTTTGGGAATCGTGCTGGGAAACTGGTTGCTGCTCTGGGAGCTGCTGTTGGCACAGCATTTCAGGCTGCAGTTCTTTGTAGTCTTACTGGACTATTTGTAGGGCGCATCGGAGCAGCACATTTGCAGCGAGTGCCTTGTTTACTCGAATTCAGAGACAACTCTAACTTTTTTAAGACTTGGTTGTAGTTTGCTAAGACATTCTCTGTACACGGCATTATGTTTTTTCCACTTGTCCACCGTGATAATAAACAGCTTTTTAAAGAACTTGAACAGGCTGCCTGCAAGTGCTTTGGTTTTGCTGAAGCCCTGTCAAGCAGATGTTTGTCTAGATCGAGACGGGCCCGTGACAGCCTAATTGTGGCTGCAGAGGAGAGAGGGGAGCTGCCACAGCTGGAGAAGGGCACTCACCACTGCCACTGTCCATGAGGGACCTTTCCGGCAGCGGGTGCCAACCCACTTAGGGGCAGCGAGGGAAACCGTGACAGTGGCTCAGGGATACACGCTGCTGCCGTGCTGTGCCCCTATAGTGCTCCCACCACACTCTGCATTTCCACCCACTGCTGGGGGCAAACTCTTGCTGGCTTGAGGTGCAACACTTGCATTTGGCTGGTGCAAGCTGTGTGCACTTACTGGTGGTGCCAGGTAATAGCAGCCTTCAAGAGAGCCTTGCTGCAATGCAGAGCTGTCCTGCTCTGGTCACACACCGCCAGGTCTTCAGGAAAGGATGCTGTTCTGAGCCTGGTTTAGTGCCGCTAACTGGGCGTCAGACCCACATCTCCAGCTGTCAGACTCCAGTTCAAGACTCGCGGGGTGGCACAAGGCCACGCAGCCTTTGCTCTTCAACCACAGCCAGCACAGGATCCTAATCCCTCCATCCCATGCTGTAGGAGCAGCACTGAGGCTGAAAGGCAGCGACAGACCCATGCCTGCTTCCCTGTACTTTCATTCCGTTCCCTTTCCTTGGTTTGGCAGAGGAAAACAGGAGCCTGTGGCAAAACTGTATAAATGGCCGCACTCGGGAGCAAAGGTGTCAGAGCCGGGCCAGAGGCAGGGAGGGACGGGCGCACCATGAGGAAGGAGAGGGGTCACTGCAGAGGCCGCTTGGTTTTCAACTGATAGAACAAATAATCTTAGCAGCAAAAAGCCGCGGCGGTGCAGGAAGGACTTGACTGTTGCTTTAGTAGGTAGAAACAAAATAGCAGGATTGTGCTAGATGAAAATGGAGGCCAGGTCACAAGCTGCAAGCCTGCTGCACTCAGGGACTCCAGATTTACTCAAAGGAGATGGTTTCTGTTCACTTGCCAGGGGCTCTCAGTTGCCCTGTGGAATGGGGGAGGCTTCTAAAAACATGACGTAGTGACAGGGCCGAGCCCTCCCTCGCTTCCCCGGGTGGGCACAAACTACGAGACGCTGCAGGGAAGGCCACAGGTGCTGGGGAGTCCCCTCTTTTATCCTGGGGAATTCATGTTCGAATCCCCCATGAATCTCAACGAAGCTGGTGTTAGCTGGTGTTCATTCTCCACTCCCAGAGGTAAACGAGAGGTGAGGGCATGAGCTGCAAAGTTTTGAAATAACTTGCCTCAGGTACGCAGCGGGACTTGAAAGGAGGGATGATGTTTCAGAGAAAACAGCAGGTTTGACTTCAGGAGCATCAAGGCATGAGAGATCACAGCAGGCGGGTTAGGGAATAAAAACTGGTCTTGTAGTCGGCCGGGGGCAAAAACTGCAGCCATCGCTTTATACTGGGAAAGCAGGGATGTCCTGTGCCCTCGTACGTCCGCGCTGACGGGGAGTCCCTGGGTGACTGCACTGGAAAGCAGCAGGTTTCTGGCAGGGCTGATGCCGCCTCACCCACCCGAGCTCGGTGC